GAATACCCATGATATTTGATCGGTGAACACACACTATAACTAGTCTTTCTTTTGTTGCTGTTTCTTATCTCTGACTATAGACCCCTGTAAGAGTTCGAAAGCTCAGGATAGTAAACAAATTGATCAGATGATCGAACACCCTTCATCCATACCCATGCAAGTACCTGGAACGCAAAGGTTCTCCTTCATTCATACTTTTTACCCTCGTTGTAAGCGCCAAATCTAGTTACTAAAAAGTACTGAGCACACAGCAACCAGAAATTATAGCTGGTTTACTTTTCACTTTTTGATTGCTCAATCACTCGTACCTCCCCTATCTCCCTCTGCTGATACCTGAAAACAATTATCAGACTGCCTCCATTCATTTTTGGTCACACTGCAAAGCGATTTTCAATAAATGACACAATTCGAGTTCCATGAAGTTATAAAGGAGCAGCAGATGCGATTGTTGGGTCAAGAACTTTATTCCCCTGATGTTTCGGATCTCGGATCTATCTTCATTAAGGGATCCGCGGCGGCGGGATCCGAAATTGCATGCGAATAAAGTCCTTGTCCCAGCAATCGCATTTGCTTTTTCCCATCACGAGTTCCACTAACTGGCCCAAAGTAGTTTGGAGTAATGCTGATATGTAACGCTCTACCTACACGCTGTGTGCACCTACCTGATTTTAAATGTTGCATGCAAGAGGAAACTTCTAACGTTCGACAGTCTGACCGTCAACTTCAACGAGGTTCACTGTGTACTCCACAGCAGGCTGATGCTGAGCCAGTGATTTTTGGGAGATTTTATTGGGAGCAGACTTCCGCTGCATCTAACTCACTCTCTTGCCACTCCCCATCCGGGCTCGGTGTCAAGACAGTGTACAGAAGACCGCACATGACCAAAATTGACCATATCTGCCTGCAGGAGGTAAAGATGAAAACCACTAGTAAATCACTGCTTTCAAGTCACATTTAAAAGAATTTGTTTTAATCCGTTAAAGGAGACTCCGACAGGTATAACAGTTTGCACAGCAGGCCAATTTTATTCTAATTCTAAAAATCGTGATTTCCTGGAGGGGAGGCCTTTCAGCCAGAACGCTGTAACTTCTATCATAACAGTCTATTCAGGCTTGATTGTTCACGGTTTCCTTGGTACATGGATATGTGACTGGGCGACCCAGACGAAGATATTGTGCAAATCATGATTATGCAGCGCGCTTCGGAGGCCTCGCACTGTTGACACGTGATTGACTGGCATTTGGTCGAAGAAATCGTGCTAACTTGGTGAAACAAAACCTGCAACTTCACCATCACCAATAAAGGAAATCTATTTCTGCACTATGGACTACCATTTAACCTTGCGTCCAGATCTGGCTTTGAAGCTGACGAATATTCTAATACCTTTTGGGAAAATCAGTCAATAAAAAGAATCAAACGATAGCCTATTGGCAGGACCAAGAACTTTCATCTTGCTTCATTAGGAAAGATGGCTTTTATGGCCCTTTAAACAGAACACTGAAATGGAAATGTCCCGCGCAGGTAAACAAAGGCGACCATAGGCATAAATTCAGGCTGGATAAGTACTATCGTGTGCTAAACTTAACAAAAACCTCAGCTTACCCTTTACATACTTTTAAACTCACCGCAACCCTACCATTGAACCTGACCATAAACTTAACAATAAACTTTACTTTGAGGATTACGTATACAGCAGAACTTACTAGAACCATAAATATCGCGAGTACTCATCAGCTGCGTCCTCTCGCTGCATAAAGTAAGTAGCGAATGAGAGGAAACACAAAAATTAAATTCGTACAGAAGAGGTCATACGAACCGGCCAGGAAGTTCCATTATTAAACTGGGCTACTAAGTCTGATTAGTAACGTAAGCAAGTGAAAAACTGTAGACAGTGAGGTAGGGGAAAAAACGTAAAAGCAGAAATGCGGGCAAGGGGGAGTGTGAATCAGGGATTCGGATGTTACCAAGGCAAAGCTCGATTCACAACATGCTCCAACTGTGTGCAAAGGTCGGGTTTTGACCGTCGTATAGAGGCTGTCTCCAGGTAGCGCAAGCTACGAGTTGTTCATGCCTAAACAAGTACTCGGAAGGATGTTTTGGAGTCTACAGAACGGTGAGCAAGTGAAACACTGCGGACAGTGAGGCCCCAAAACATCCTTCCGAGTACTTGTTCGGGCACGAACAACTCATACCTGGCGCTACCTGGAGGCAGCCTGTATACGACCGTCA